CCTGAACACCCAGGGGTCGATGTGAAAGAAAAAGATGAAAGATTGCAAAAGTCAGAAGGTGTTGGTAACTTGAAGAAACAATGTTTTCTGAAGGCAACAGGTAAGATGCTCATATGATTTCAAAGCAATTGGAGAACGCATAAGACCAGAACAAGTTCAAGCTGAAAGGAAAAACAACAACTACAACACTGCATGAGCCCGAGAATAATCCACAACACAATGAATTTGGCAAAAAAAGAGAGAAATGAAATGAAGTCAGGTGAGTAAGGAGAGGAGAAAACTTGAAGTGTTAGGAAAGGGGTTGATGTGATCAAAATATAGTGTATGAGTATCACCAAGAGTTGATAACAAAACGAAATTGAAAAACTAAGTCTATTACTTTTCCAACTTTTTAGCAGGTAGAGGCACCTATTGGTAAGCCTGAGAACCTGAGTTTAATCCCTGGAACCCAAACGGTGGGAAAAGAGAACTGACCCAAACTTATCATCTCACTTCCACACATGCACCACACCAGATGCACACCCACGTGCATGCACAATCATACAATCAAAGGCAACTTCACACATGCAACACGGGATATGTGTGCACCATCTTACATGCATAATTCCACAGTCAAAGGCAATGAATATTTTTAGAAAAAAGACTCTTAATTAGGAAGTCACTTGTAATTGAATTCTTTCTTAAGTATGGCCTACTGGTCCATAATGAGTATCCTTGCAACACTAAAAAGTCATGCCAATAAACTCAGCAAATGAGAGACACAAGGTGCTGGACATTGAATTTGTCAATAACCTTATGATCCTACTATGTCCTCTGATGGCTAATATCTGGACTCTTCCTTCCCAGGACCTTGAGTCTACTAAACTGTGTACAGTGTTGATCTCAATATGTTCTTTTCTAATTCATTTGTGCCCTGATCTTCACACTTGTTGAATGTAGAATAGGAAGGCTCAATTCCTGGACTTCACCAGTAGCACAATTGGGCATTCCTTATTCAAAGCCTCAGGGATAGCACTCAGGTTTGGTTTAGGATATTGGTAAAAGATCTTAGGGAATTGCCTTCAGGGGGAGACATTCTACAACATATAGAAGATATGTTGACATGTAATCCTATCATGGAAAGTACAGATCACAATATTGTCACAATGCTGAACTCTCTAGTCTCTTGAAGATGTTGAGTCTCCCAGACAAAAGCTACATAATCCAGAATTGCTTGTGAACCATCTTGACTGCTGTAGCAGAACTATTATCCCCACACCAATTTATAACCATAATTACGATAATTCCACCAAAGTAAAGGGGATGGCTTTGACCACTTGTATAAATGGCTGAATCATGTCAAAACAGAGACTCAGCTCAGAGTAGGTTCAATCATCCTTTGAGACTTTCTCATGTCCCAGGCCCTGAGACACTAATGGGATGATGGTCAATTAAAACAATATTTCAGGCAAATGCATCAGAGTCTCAAAAGGAACAATCCTCCAAAGCCCTTGGATTCATTTGTTTAAAAAAAAAAAGCAAGGGTTTGACTTTTGTGTATGAATTCATGAGTAGGAACAGAATGAGGTCTTCACATATTTTTCATAGACATCACAGGCTGCATCTTGAGGGTGAACTCCTGTCTGGAAACCATGACAGCATATGCACGCCAACATTCACTGGAAAAATAATCAATTCCCAGGTTCTCTTTTCCCCTCATCTTTCTTTTGAAATGAGGCAGCCACTGTTTCCTAGGTGGAACACAGTAGATGGTTCCAGTAATACCTCTGAGTTAAAGTCTTGCTCTAAGGAGCAAACCTTCACCGTGAACACTCATCCCTTGGAGGACCCTTATCCTATATGGAGGAATTGGCCCTAGCTGTGAAATTATACCCATGCTTCAAGTAAACTTTTCACAAAAACAACAACAAAAAAAAAAAAAACCTTAAGAGTCAGGCAAGAAACAGCCCAAGATGTAATTACA